TTTAATTGTCCCCGGTATTATTTCACTTGTCATTCTAAATCAATTGCTTTATGCAACATTAAATTCTATGCTATTAAATTTCACACAATATTATGTAACGTTTTTAATTTTTTCGACTTGTCTACTAATCTTATAATTGCACACCTTTTTCAAGTTCTATCCATCCTATGAATTATTGTATATATGACATTAATTTGCTTTGCCACTTGACATTTAACTACGATTATAACCACAAACATTTTAGTTTTAATTGCATTTCATATTATTATTATTTCATGCATTCACACCCATGTTTCAATTCCCTCACCGGATATAACTTCTTAAAAACTATATATATAATATATTATATACTATTGTACAGCTTGATGATAAATTCGTTGAAAAGAGTCTCTTCGCTGAATCATTTGTTTTGATTTTCTATGTGTTACAATGGGAATTTTCCATGATTTAAGAATAATTAACACAAACGTTTGGTAATCCAATCAAATAAGGATTACCAAGGTAATAGTAAATTGTTTTTGAATACACAGGTAGGGGAATTTAAGTTTATGAATAGCTATAGCCTCGGCGTATTTCATAAGCGCCCTTAACCGTTTTTATAGATGACCTTAAAGGCTGAGTTAACATCAGTCTTATGGTTCATCTGGATTAGGTGTTTAGCTATAGACGAAGTTGGTAGTCTGACACCTGCATCTATTGGTTTTCTAACCACTTTGGGATATGCTCTCCCACCCTCACATGCAAAGCGCGATTACTCCTCCTATGTATGTGTGACCACACACACACGAAAATTGGTAAATAGTGTGGGATGTGACATAATCACTTGTGCACTTTTGAGGTTTGCAGTGCAGCATATTTTTAGCTTTTTCGACAATTACAAGCTGGGCTGCATAATAGGTTCTACGGATGATCGAATTCAACCTTTGTCTCAAAATCCTACTGTTTATTTCCCCGTTATATGGTAATTTGATGAAAACATTTTTCTTAGGGTCGGTATGGATTGTAGGTTTAGAGACTAATTGACTTCTACAGCGTATTGAAATACGCTGAGGCTATAGCTATTCATAAACTTAAGGTAACATTCTTAACCTTTTTTGTCACTTTGTTTAATTTAACTTTTTCATATATATATCGACTTGACAAGTAAATGTGTGAGGGATCAGATTGTTCGAAATGTATAGCACAAATACATCACATCCTTTTTCAGATAATCTCCGTCTTCTAATAACACTATCCAAATTTATAAAAAGGGACTAATTGTTTGAAACCTTAGTTCTCGGATTGACTGGATGTGTGAACAATATCCACCTTGAAACCAATCAATTGAATGCTCACAAACTCAACAAGGGAAGACTGGAGTAAATCTAGGCTTATGTAAGGTGGCTAGTGAAAATGCACCTTGTAGATAGTCAGTATCACATCAGGGTTAGTCTTCATTATCTCAATGAGAAATAAAGATTTACAGCATGTTGTTAAGTTATTCAAATATCATACGGATGATTGTGTTTAAACCGTGGTGCAAGCATGAATAGCATGAACCTATGAATGCTGGAACATGCAGAAAAAAATCTTATTTTTATGACGAACATAAATCCAATTATGACTTAAAATCTACCTCAAAATCATTGATCTAGACAGCATTGACCGTGAAGTACCCAAAATCTTTATCAACCTCATTCAACAGCTAAACGACAATGCCACGTGTCTAGTGATCCATAACGGAAAACTCAGTGAAGCCTTTGAAGTAAAGACAGGCTGTCTACTACCACCGATGATATTGCTAACTGTGGTGGAATAATGGGTCATATAGCACACCATACGTGGGGAGTGAGAAGACAGGAACATACTGGACCGATGAAAAGACTCTAGAAGATCTGGATTTCACAGATGATTTATGTCTAATGCTACACAAACTCCATGACTTACATGCGAAAACCAACAAGATGGCAGCGAAGACAGGAATTCAAGTAAACATAGACAAGACGGAGGTGATGAGAACAACCAACAACAACAAAAGGACCAATCACTATCAACAGAAGGAACTTGAAAGAGGTCGCTTCCTTCATTTATTTAGAAAGCATTGTTTGAACTACAGGAGGAACCGTTGAAGATGTCAAAACCACCATCGGAACGCCAAGACAGACCTTCAACACTCCGAAATCAGGATGAAAATCTACTGCACTCAGCATACAGAACAAGGTTCGCATTTTCAGTCAGTTCTTCTATAAAGGTTAAAAACCCGGTGCGTGTGTCACGGAAAGCATTTCCAACACAGGCAGGCGTACTGCAGACTTTTATCAACAGCAATATGCCTTCGCTGACTTCATACTGAAGATCAGATGACCAACTGGATCGGACGCACGCCAAGGAAACCGTCGAGTGTGCCAGGCTGTCGAGTGGAAGGTAAAATGGGAAACGACGAGTTGGATGTGTGTTCGACGGTGACATGGAGGAGGAGATGAGATGAAGGCTTATGAGCAATCCTGACACCAGCTAAAGAGGACTGTTGAGAAAACAAAACACGTAGATCAGCGAAGAGTCTCTTTTCGGCGGCGAATTCATTTTCTTAGCTGTACAATCGCAAATATATATATGGGTTATTTTGTATGTATGTGTACATTAAGTTTGTCAAACAAAAATACAATTGGTTATAGTTATTTTAACTAAACAGGTGAAGATTGGTAATTGGAGCCAGGTACATCGGTCGTTCGACGCGCACCCTGTCCAAGAGGATTCAAGAACACTATCCAGCATGGTTGCGAAAAGGCAATAGTGGTGCAATAAGTGAACACCTGGTTAACACTGATCATTCCATTTCAACAAACGCCTCCTGCTTCAAAGTAATCTACAGAGTCAAGAATAACCTATCAAAGGCAATACGGTTTCGTCTTCTTTGTATCGTTGAAGCTCTGGCCATTCACATAGAAAAACCGGAGCTGTGCATACAAAAGAGAATTACTCAACCACTTCTACTGTCATGGTAACAACTTTTTTGATTTGATTTTTTGATGACTTAATTTTGTTTCTTTGCCTGTTCTTTAATTGCTTATAATTCTTGTATTCACTTAGAACTCTTACGTAATTTCGTATTATCTACTTTGTTCCTATGTGCATCCTGAGTAAAACTCACTCATCACCTTTGTTACTACCCTAATTTCATTAACACCTAATTTTCTTGACTAATTTTGTATTACGTAACTCCAATTACCAATCTTCACCTGTTTAGTTAAAATAACTATAACCAATTGTATTTTGGTTTGACAAACTTAATGTACACATACATACAAAATAACACATATATATTTGCGATTGTGGCCCGGGCACTCAGCATCAAAAATAAGATCCGGATTTTCAACTCCAATGTGAAGTCAGTGCTACTCTCTATACGGATCAGAGACTTGCACTGCGCGTCATAAAGAGCATCTCAAACAAACTACAGACCTTCATTAACAGTTGTCTTCGCTCAATACTACTCAAGATCAGATGGCCGGCCAGAAAAGATCAGCAACAGAGATCTCTGTGAGCGAACCAACTCAGCAGGAACCGATTGTGAAACAAATAGGCAGGAAGAAATGGAGATGTTGGATTGGCTATACTCTGAGGAAACCATCAAGTGACATCACTAGACAAGCCATCACTCGAGTGGAACCCTACCGATAGGGAAGCGGCGAGTTGGTCGTCAGTGCAAGGGTGACTTGGAGGAGGTCATGTGAAGAGGAGATGAAAGCGTGTGGGCATACTTGGAGCCAGGTGAAAACTCTAGCAGAGAATCGAACGCAATGGAGATGCACGGCTGAAGCCCTATGTTCCTCTAGGAATTAAAGGAAACAATAATAAATAATAATAATTTGCGATTGTACAGCTAAGAAAATGAATTCGCCGCCGAAAAGAGACTCTTCGCTGATCTACGTGTTTTGTTTTCATTAATGCATGGGTGGGGATTATACATGGACTGTTGAGAACATGACAAAATTGGAGACGTGCTGTCGGTTGACCGCCACCCACCAACCCCCGCTTTACAACTATACACACCAACATTTTATAATAGACTTAGTCTGTCTGTTTTCAACATAGAACTTTGCACATATGTGCGGCAGTTCAAGTCGCCACACTCCCTCCATGTAGCAGACAAAGCAAGAGAAGAAAGTAGGAGAAATGCATAATACTATAGACAGTAAACAGAGGTGTGAGACAAAGGAGTAGTCATAACGAAGAACAAAACAGTTTCATCGGAAATCATGAGTCACAAGGAGTGGATGCATCTGCGCCACTGAGAACGATTTTGAGTTATGTCACCAATTGTTTCCAACCATTGGTTTTTACCGGCCGAGGACCCCAACCAGGAAGCCAGTCTACACCTTCCTACGTGGCTTAGGCTAACTGTTGTGGATTTCATTGACTGGTGCCATGTTTTGGTTTGACCGCCACTAGCTCTTTTCCAGCCTGGCCCTATATCAGCTAACATTGCCCGTCGAGGAAGGCGATGACTAGGCATACGTAACACGTGTCCTAACCATCTCAGTCGATGTAATTTCACAGTCTCGTCGACTGATTTTCCCGCCTTACCTGACCGAAAGCTGCTACCTTGACGTAGTGGTCGCGCTTGCATATCGCAATGACCCAACGAGCTACACTGGCTGGAACTTAAGTTCCTGTAGGTCCTACCATGCCAGAAAGGTTGTTTGGATAGCGGTTAGACAAAAAGCAGCTACCCAATCCAATGCCATGACTCAAACAAAAACACAAAATATCATGCCGGATCGGTCGGGGCCCGGATTAACAACGACCGCGCTTCCTGCTGCCGTGTCACAGGGCAGAAGTGATAAATGTGCTACTGAGACACACCAAATAAAAAAGAACAAACAAAAACAGGCCGTGTGTGACCGGCCTCAAGCAGTTGTCCCCTGGACTCTGTGGTCACGCAACCAACTTCCACTGTGTGGGCAGCCGGGAAGTAACAATCGCCCTCACAATCCGAAGTGCACGTGAAACCTCTCATCTAATAGACTTAGTAGAGATGACGAAGAAAAACAAGCTTTGTGACTAAGTTATAAACAAATAATCCATTGCACATTGGATTTGTGATTGATACAACCAGATTTGTCTTTTTTTTAAAATATACACTCATCACTCACTCACTCAGAGATAAGATGATTGTTTTTTGTTCGTTCGTTTGTTTGTTTGTGCACATACATACAGATACAAACAACACACACACACACAAAGAGCATACAGAATTTTCTCTAGTGAAGAAAACTTCACAGAGAAAAGAAGAAGTATGAGAGAAAACAAAAAAAAGCATTCAGAGACAGGTGGTGGCAGCGGTGTGACTGCACCACAGCAGCGACAAATGAACAAGCGATAAAGCGAATACATGGTAGTATACAAAAACAAAAGTAAAAAACAGACAAGAAATATCTTAGCTACAAAAAACCCCAGAGAAGATGAGAATGGAAAGTACAAAAAAAGACATATTTCACTTCGGACTGCCTCCCATTATTTTGTATAGACCAAAAAGTTAAACAAAAGAAAAGGGTGCGGAGGGAGGGAGTGGCAGTGGGCTTTAGATAAACAGAAATCATCATCATCATCATTGTAATTCGTCGTAGAGTTTTTTTCAGTTTTTGTCTACAGCTTCAAAATTGAACACTTTCACAAGAAGTAATCATCAGTACTGCTTGAATTGTGTCGATAAGTTAGCAAGGTGGTAATCGTTGATTTTTACTGCTGAAGAATGAATGTGTGCATACATATGGAGAAAGAGAAGGATTACGTTGTTTACAAACCAGTATGTAGTCAGGTAGGTGGGTAAATAGCCTATTCTTCTAGTCTATTGTGTTTCCAAAGCGTAGATGTCAAATATATTGTACACTCTTTTGTTATTATTGTTATTATTATTATTAAGAAAATAATCTGTCTTATAGATGGCTAATAAAATAAAAACACAAAAGGAGAAGAAGACGAAGAATAAGGAGACTGGTAATATGTCAACAAAAAAAACTTGACATTGCTGCCTTCCTAGTAGAAACGTTTCAATTGTCGTTGACGTTTTTTGTAATACTGATAACCGAAATATCCTCCACCGACAATAAAACAGATCATGAATATCCAGAAGAAGACGGAGAATATACGACCGGCTTTTGATGGTGGACTATCATCAACTCGAGCTGAAATAGAAAGACAAAAAATAAAAGAAGAAGAATATGACAATGAGTACATAGTTATTCAATTGAATTTTAGATTTTCCCGTCGATTGATTCGACCGAAGTGCTCGTGGTCTCAGGTTGACATGTCTGTCGGCTTCTTGTGCAGATGCTTCGACGATGTGTCTGGGCATGTAATTAGAATTTAATTGGTGGATGGTGGCTAGCAGTGGAATTCAGGTACTTCCAGTTGACGAGTCCCAAAACGGGACGAAACGCGCATCCTGGATTCCACTGCTAGCCACCATCCACCAATTAAATTCTGAGTACATATTTAGTTTAAAATTAGATGAAAACCAAACTGCTGCTCCACTTACTTAATCTTTCCTCGACTACTCTAAAAGCACTATGTCATATTTCAAAGAGTATTAAAGGTTGTCAGTAGGCTAAGTGGTGTGACGCTATTAAGTCAGCTCCTTACCTAATGGAGCCAACAGATATCTGAACTAATCCAATAAATCGACTAAATCCATATTCAAGTATTGGTTTGTAGGGATTTGGTTGATTGGTTACAGGATTTCATCATGAGCTGACATTGGTTAGAGAACCATTGGAAAACCTGAGGGAGTACTGGACCCGATCCAATGGCCAGTCCATGAATTCTAACTTCTGCCAATTCACGATATAGCGCAACCACTAGCCAATGTCATCGCTGGTGAGTATTTGTCCTCACACCCGACCTGCTGCACCCTACTGGTCACGACTTCCCACTAGAACCCCAGGTAACTACCTACCTGAATAGGGCCAGTCGCCAGTGAGCATCTCATTGATATTGAAGTATTGGTTTGTAGGGATTTGGTTGATTGGTAGGTTCTAGTGGGAAGTCGTGACCAGTAGGGTGCAGCAGGTCAGGTGTGAGGACAATACTCACCAGCGATGACATTGGCTAGCCGTTGCGCTATATCGTGAATTGGCAGAAGTTAGAATTCATGGACTGGCCATTGGATCGGGTCCAGTACTCTCAGGTTTTCCAACGGTTCTCTAACCAATGTCAGCTCATGATGAAATCCTGTAACTAAATCCATATTGTCTGACCTTCAGCACTCTCTTTATTCACGACTCTTTCCCACCTTATATCTCAGGTAGGAATAGAAGTCATTATAAATGATTATATGCTTGCACAACTAAGTAAAACAGCTCAACGATATCCTGTTTAGTCGGCGTTCTATGTGATGGAGAAAGTGTTAGGCGCGAAACGTATATATTGGTTAGCAAAATAAATGGCTCTTTTATCTTCTCCTATTTGTTATTTATGGTGACACTATTTCTATCATTTTATATATTATTATTATTATATCATACTTTGAATATTTTTGACTTTATTGTTAGTGTAAACGCCAAGAAGTTGCTATTATTAAATTTTAGTTACCTATACGCTGTAGTGTATTTTGTTGAGTTAATTAGATGTAATTTTGTACGAAATGCTGAGAATTCCATGCTGTATCACATAAATACTATTTTGGAATAAAGCAAATTATTATTATATTAGTAATGTTACATTAATTGTGTACCAAAGGAACTTGGAACTAATTTACAAGATGTTTAGATTACCGATACCTATGTTAAAGACCAAATAACTTGAACTTATAACTATTGTAATAATAGGTATAGCAGCAGAAGGCAAGACACGGAAGCCAAGGTATATTTTCACGATTGATCAAACCGCTATTTCCATATGTCTGTCTGTTTTCAACATAGAACTTTGCACAGATGTGCAGCAGTTCAAGTCGCCACACTCCATGTAGCACACAAAGCAAGAAAAGAAATGCAAAATAGAGACAGTAGACAGGGATATCAGACAAAAGGAATAGTAGTAACGAAGAACAATATAGTTTCATTGGAAATTATAAGTCACAAAGAGTGAGTGCATCTGCACCATCACTGAGAACGATTTTGAGCCATATCGCCAATTGTCTCCAGCCATTGGTAATTACCATCCCATGGACCCTAACATCAGGAAATCCACACTCCTACGTACTGCTGGCAAACTTTGTGGTTGACTGTTTGACTGCCAGTAGCTCTTTTCCAACCTGACCCTATGTCAGCTAACATTGCCCGTTGAAGAAGATGACTAGGCATACGTAACACATGTCCTAACCATCTCAGTCGATGTAACTTTACAGCCTCGTCGATTGATTTCCCCTCCTTACCTAGTACTCGACACCTAACCTCAGTATTGCTCACCCTATTATACCACTTCACACGGGAGATAGAACACAGGCACCTATGATCAAAGACAACTAGTCTTTTCATGTCTTTCACTCTCAATGGCCAGGTCTCACAATCATAAAGGAGGATGGAGCGGACTGCTGAGCAGTACACCCGCCCTTTGATCGATAGCCGGAGTTGTCTCGTGTTTGTTCCTCCCGTGGACCGTTTAGTCTACACATGATTATTGAGCCTAGAACTTTAAATACCATATTAGTCAAGCTAATTCCCCAGTGATTATCACAGGAAGACTTGTCTCCCTTCTTGTTTTTTATTTCTATATATATACAGTTTTATATTCTTTAACCAATCACTGAGCCTGTGATTTTGGTGTACATTTAACACCGTTCAAATACATATATTATTCTGTTGCTAATGCACTATTTAACCGTGGGAAAAGTACTCTGTCTCTAACCTCAAATAGAATGTTCAAATATCTGTAGTATTCTGTTGCTAGTGCAGTATTGAACGGTGGGAATATGTGAGAATAATATTCCCTTGGAACAAATTGTCTAATATCACACCATCACAATAGTACATTTTGTGTTAGAAGCCTTACTAGAAGTAAAAAGAACTCAAAAACAAAGCAAACAAAAATACAGAAAACTTATTAAAAGCCAGAGGTTCGTCTAAGAAGAAGAAGAAGAAAATAACCCTTTTCATGCAACTGTGCTACAGTACACTTTGAATAATCTAGTCATACATCTACTTTTCACAATAATTTATAAGTAAATGAAGAAATTCCAGTGAAATTAAAATAAACAAAATAGTAGGGGAGGCAGAGGCAGGCAAATAATTGACACCTTTCCATGTCTTCTACTTTCAACGACCATGTCTCACAGTCATAAAGGAGGGCGGAGCGAACTGCTGAGCAGTACATACTTCCTCTGGTCGATAGCCAACCGGATATCACGTCTACTAAGCTAGAGATGGCATAAGTTGGCTGACAAATGCCAAACGAGCCTTCTGTATCCGTGCTGAGACCTCGGTCAGCGGTCAACTCTCTGGGGCTAAAACAAGCAATACAGGTTAATAAAGCAGGATTTAATGAATTCATCGAATTTCGGTAGAGCCAGAGGCTTGTGCAATTCGAGTTTATAAACCAGGTCTCTGTGTACAAAAGGAGATGGTCGTGACTCTGAATCTACCATGGTAATACGTTTTACTTATTATTCTACCTCTTATTATTATTATTATTCTTGATTCATTTAAAACTATCCTTTATCAGTAGCATTATCTTAACTCTCTTCAACACTATTATTATTATTGCTATTATAACTATTACTACTGATATTACTCTGTTTGCAATTCTTGTTATATTCTCTAATGATTAATTGTTTATCTAAGTGATGTAATTGAAGCGTAATGCAATTTATCTTAATTTTGATCTCTCATACTCTCTCTCCCCTTATCTATTTGAACATGACCTGGAAAACATTCGCACCTGTCTTTCTGCATGACTAATTCAATGTAGTTTGTTTACTTATCAGTCTTATATCTCCCAATGTAATTTCAAAAGTATATATATTCCGTGTATGTAGAGTATTCAGCTGACGAGTTCTACCGCAATTTGATGAATTCATTAAATCCTGCTTTATTAACCTTTATTGCTTGTTTTAAATTCGTATCGGGAAATAAATATTTTCAATTCTCTGGGGCTAATTCAACTTCTCAAATAAGTGAAGTGGTCAACACGCTCTACGACTTTTCTCCCTATCTTCACGGTAGGAGTGAACCGATGCAGTCCAGTCCTGTAGCGTCATCTTACATATGACGACAGGAGTGAATCGTATGCACAATATTCGAAGACTGCTGCTCAGAAGACTCTGCATTTTATCAGTATCCGTCTAGGACGACAGTATCATCCTCATACTACGTCGAAAAGACTTTTCCCTGGTAACAGGTCAATCCCTAAACCACTGAAGTCAGGTCAGGGTCAATTCCATTAATACATCTATGATGAAATTAAACAGAAATGGGGACATTAGGCATTCCTGACGGACAGCACCGATTGTCATAACTTCAAGAATTTTGTAACACATAAAGAAAAGAAATATAATGAAACTAAATTAGACAAAGGCTTAACTAGTGAGATTAATTATTCACAAGATAATAGTGATTTTCAGAATCCAGAAGACAGCAACGAATGAATTCATCTGTGCCACTACTGAGAACAATTTTCTGTCATGTCACCAAATAGGTTCCAACAATGCATTCTTAGCATTCCAAGGACTACACACACAAATAGTTTACACCCTTTCTGAGTAAACCAATAGAGTCGAAGACTGCATCGATTGTTGCCATGTTTTGATTTGACCACCTATCTTTCTCTAACTCTTTCCTTGCGTTCTCCAAATCAGCTAATATTGCTCATTGAGAAATGCGATGGTTAGACAAGCTATATAGCACACAACATAACCTAGCCATTTCAGTCGATGTAAAACTTCATAACCCTATTATCGATTTAAGCTTCCTCCTCCTTAGCTAACACACTACACTTAACCACATTATCATTATGTGACCGTATTAAACCACCTAACACGAGAGACAAACGTAGGTATATATATACTTGGCCAAAGATAGATAGATAGTACCTACGTCTCAAAGTCGTAAAGTGCAAATAATAATAATAATAATAATAATAGTGTTAAACACTAAGTAGAACAAAACATTAAAAAAAAAGTCATGTGTATGTCCTGGTAAATCGATTTTGAAGATAAGCTTCGTTCAGCAGCGTTGTTTACATTGTTAGTGTAATCAATACAACAATAAACTAAAATAATTCACTTAGGTGTAGTGCAATTTGAATATGTTTTGAAAAATAGCTTAATTTTGTACTACTATATCCATCAATGGCATACCTTATGACTGGCAGAAACAATATTATAGATACATAAAGTGTAGCAATTTAATAACAGCACATATATTAAGTCTAACCTACTCTAAATCTAGGTAGTAAATACGGCAATTCACACGATAAAGACACTAATAACAGACATAATTATACTACTACTACTACTGGCGTACTGCATCCACGATTTTAATGTCTTTTTGGCTGTTAGACGGTGTAATCGGGGTGAATAACATTGATGTTAGACGTCGACTGGTTGGTTAGGTAAGGACGGAAAGTCAACCGATGATGCTGTGAAGCTATTGAGATTGTGTTACGACGTGTGCCTAACCATAGCGCCTTCTTCGATAGGGAAAATGTTAGCTGGCATAGAATCAGGTTGGAAAAGACATGTGTTAGCGGTGGAAACAAACAATCCATGAAATCTTTGACAATTAGTTTGAACCAGCCATGTAGGAAGGTGGCTGACTGCTTAATTGGTTGGGGTCCTCAGGATGATAGTAAGAACCAATAATGGCTGAGGAGACAATCAGTGATAAGCCTAGCAATCGTTGTCAATGATGAAGATGCATTCACTCGTTGTGATCGTCTCCCACTATCCATTAAATCATAATGTTTTTCCCTCAATTTTATGCTTATAATCATTTTGGACAGCTGTTTCATCCTAGTTTGGGACTCCTCACAGTACGCGCCCACCGCCAGGATTCGAACCCAGGACTGAACATTGGATCGGGCCCCAGTGGCTTAGTGGTCTGTGAGCTCGCTAGCCTTGTAACCAGAGAGTCCTGGGTTCGAACCGCGGTAGGTGCCTACTGATGAAGAGCCCCAAACTAGGATGAAACAGCCTTCGAGTACTCCTTGGTGGTTTTTCAATGGTTCTCTAACTGAAGTCAACTTATGATGAAATCCTTCAACCAATCAAACAAAATTCCCTACAAAATCAATACTTGGATATTATTGTTCTCTCGAATCTATTTTGTTTCGTCTCTTTTGTCTTCTTTTGTGTGGTACCTAGAGTGAGTATGGCAACTCAAACTGGTGCTGTTCTATGTTTAAACCAGTTTATATATATATATATCGATACAAGTATTAATTTTGTTGTTGAGCTGTGGCTGGTCGGTCTATGGCGCTCAACTTCCAGCCAGTGGGTCACGAGTTCGAACCCTGCTGCATGTACTGAGGTTTGCGCAGCGCCAAGTAGTACAACCAAACGTCATACAGTGGATGTAGCTGACTGCTAACTGCATGGAATTGCAAGTGATTGTTTGAATTGATAAGTTTCATTATTGAAAGTCAAGTCAATTAATATAAGCTTCGTCTGTTCAAAACACGACATCTTCACTAATATTTATAATTAAATGGTTGGTATAACTACGTGAAGATTCAGGTAAAAAAGCATGCGTTGTCTTTATATTTTCAAGCATCGTGGACGTAATGATCATACGCTAGATGAATGTTAAGATGCAAGACAATCGACAAAATCTCCAGATTTACAAGTTAGTTCGATCACAAGCTGACATCCGTTGGAGCTAGTAAACCATTCGCCCAGTGGGACTTCATCCAATGACCCATGAACTCCAACTTCTGATAATTCGCAATATTCAGAGCGATTGATCCTGTAATCACTCAAATCCCCGCAAACCAACACGTGATAATTAATCTACTGCAAACTAGCGACTGGCTCCACACAGGATGTTACTTAGAGTTTTAGTAAGAAGTCGTAGCCAAGGGGATCCAAAAAGTCAGACAAGAGGATAGTTATTCGCCTGTGACATTGGTTTGCGGTGGTGTTACATATCGTGAATTAGTAGAATTTAGAATTCATGCATCATTCAATCGAGTCCTCGTGGTTGAGTGGTCTACGAGCTCGCCATTTAACCGGAAGACCCTAGGTTTGAGGCACGGTCAGTGAGCACTACTGAAGAGTCCCAAACTAGGACGAAACAGCTCTCCACTACTCCCTGATAGTACTCCAACTAATGTCAGCTCGTTTTCAAACCTGTAACTAATCAAATCTTTGTAAATCAACACTTGTTAATTAATTTCCTAGCCTTATCACAATCCAACACTGAACTATCTTATTAAGTTAATGTAAACGCGTATCAGAAGTTGAAAACCTCTCAGATATCAACCAGTAGTGCCTCCAAAGCCTCAGGATGGTCGGGGGTGGGGTGCCTTGCACTGTGGGTTGGCCACCCCTCCGCACACCTCTTGAAATGCTCCCATATGACCGGGCGTCTTACATAGCCTCTCCTGAGGAAGTCCTACTCACTGCCTTCACGTGGCGGAGGTGTTTTTCACCAAAGTGAGAGGGCGAAAGCGGATGCCCGGCGCTCTTCACCGGGTTGACTGTTCATTGGATGACAGTCTAGGGGAGATGGCTAAACCCTGATTCCAAACCTCCAACGACCGGCGTATGAAGCTCACTGGAGGTCACCGGCAGACGTATGGACAAAGGGCTTGTTGCATGTCCTGGATGTCTGGCCCCATTCAAAAAGGTGTATGAACCGAACTCCGGTCACCGGCTGCCAATGGATAGTGGACTCCCTACTCCACTCCTACTGCCTTGTAGGTCACACTTGATTGTCTAAAGGCTAGAGCTGCACTCTCAAACAAAAGGCCGAGCGATTCTGGGGACATCACTCATACCAAATTCCCATGAAACTTCATGAACTCTCTTACAAACGATTCGAGATGTTCATGAAGCCGGCTCATCCTCCCGTAGGAGATAGCCGAAGTAAAGAAATAAAGAAGACAGTAGTGCTTGCTAGTCAAATGCAAGCGATCTAAACACCAGATGGTCATTTCACTCGTTCGCCGTCGAGTTCATCTGTGGTGCACACACACACATGCATTGACTCAGATCAGGGAACCGAATCAGTTCAAACCATTTGAATTCTAGTCAGCTACTTAGGTAAACTGATAATACAATTGCATCAAATTCATCATTTATAAATTGCACAGTACGAGGTGAGTAATCATCACATAAAAATATCAGATCACAACAAAACATTGATCTGTTTGATACCATATATGGAAATTAAAGAAGCAAGCAAAAATAGATTGTATGATGCCGCCGAAGTCTCTAAGTAGATAAAATGTGCAATAGCTACACAGTGTTAATTAATAATAAAATGACTACGGTAAACATTTTCCTCCCTACTGTCATAATCTACCATCTATCTAATCTATGACTTAAATACATCAGTCACTTATTTATATTTTTCATTTGATATATGTTTCAGTATCCGTAGTGAATTCAATCGATAATTATCTCTCTCTCTCTCTCTCTCTCTCTGTCTTAGAAAAAACACATAAAAGTCGCTAAAAAAATTAAAAGTGATTGCAGGTAAATAGTGTGTGCAATAATTGTCAAAAATATTGATATGAGAAAAGACGGAGTTAACACCTACCTCTTGGTGCAGATTCATGTTCAGCTGATGGCTCAATTCGTGAATAATCAACAAATGGATCATCCTAAATAGCAAAAACAAAAAACAATATCAAAACTACTAGTGAGAAAAAAACAACGAATACAGTTTTATTTTAAGAATTTTTATTTCTTCTACATCGACTCCTAGCTTAGAGATAGGCAGGAGTGAAGTGGCCGATGGGGCGTGTTGACCACTTCACTTATTTGGGAAGTTGAATCAGCCCCAGAAGGTTGACCACTGACGAAATCTCAGCACAGATACAAAAGGTTCGTTTGGCATACGACAAATTACGCCATCTCTGACATAGTAGATGTGATATCCGACAGTCGACCAAAGGACGTGTACACTGCTCAGTAGTCCGCTCCGTCCTCCATTTATGGCTGTGAGACATGGCCACTGACAGTGGAAGACATGAAGGGGCCAGTTAGCTGCCTTTGATCATAGATGCGTGAGTTCTATCTTCCGTGTTAGGTGGCATAATTGGGTGAGTAATATTGAGGTTAGCCATCGAATGCTAGGCAAGGAGGGAAAATCAATCAGAAGAGGCTGTGAAGCTACAGCGATTGAGACGGTTAGGAAATGTGTTACGCATGCCTAGCCATCGCCTTCTTCGACGGGAAATGTTAGCTGACATAGGATCACGTTGAAAATTAGAGGTGGTCAAACCAAAACATGGCATCAGTCAATGAAATCTTTGAAAACTTGACTTAAATACATAGGGAGGTATAGGCTTCCTTGTTAGGGTCCCCAGGGTGGTAAATACCAATGTCTGGAGACGATTGGTGATATGGCTCAAAACCGTTCTCAATGGGGAAGACTAGTCATATACAATAAAACTCTGTTGTTTTTGTCTCACACTTCTGTCTATTATCTCTCTTTTGGATCTCTCTCTACTCTCTTCTCCTGCTTTGTATGCTACATGGTGAGTGGCTACTCGAACTGCTGCACTTCTGTGTAAAGGTCTATGTTGAAACCAGTCAGTCAGTATTTCTTCGCATTCCGAGTAGGATACAGGGCTTCAAAAGCTTGAGCTTTTAAGTTTCGATAGCAGTAGTTTTATTTTTACAGGGTGAGGTCGCTAGCCTCGTGCTCAACCTTTTCTCTTTACCGGACTTACTACCCCAGCTGGGCGAGGTTTAAGACTGTATCGGTTGGAGATCGAATCTCAGACCACTTGAGCCTCCCGTAGTTGGAGAGTATTCTACCGCTGAACACCACTGACGCAAAGCGTGTGTCAAAGATGGCATCCCCAACACACTGACTTAAATGACACAACAGATAAAGAGTATTTGCTAAACCATGTGCCAAATACTCAAAAACACTGTGCTTATAACAATTTATAGTTATAGTAAAGCCTACACAAGTAAGATAAGGTATAAAAATTAGGTGCGTCTAGTGTTGTGTGAAGTCTCAAATTACGAATTAAGGGCTTCGCTTAGTCACAAAGTCTTTTACTATAAGTTTCAAGAATGTACAAGTTCTGATAGCAGTGAACAGGTGAATGCAATTCACTGAACTACACAAATGATTATTTACCAAACTAAATGGCACAAAAATACTAAGCAACACCTTGGAATGGCAACTACTAGTGAGTGCCATAGATATTCAATTTTTGAAGACAAAAAAAAGAAAGAAAGCTACGTTTGATGACAAAGTAACAGAACAAAAAAATATACTTGCAGAGCATTGGCAATTCGTACAAAAACACAATCGGTTGTTTGTAATTATTTAGTTTCAAAAGCAACCACTCCCACATAAAAGGCGTTTACAGTTCACACAACACCCAATTCACAATTCATGTGTTAAATGCAACTTGTTTTGATAGTTATTTTTTATTCATCCTCTACTAAGAAGGAGGACGTATTAAAAGCCAGCAGGTACAAACTTTGTCATAACAGTATATATACACATACAGTTTTTTTTCAAAAGTAAACGAGATTTTATCATTTTAGGCGGGACTACTACTACCACTGACAACTACTAAAAACTGTTTTACAATTTTGTAAACACCGTGAAATATGAAACCAAAAACTGACAGCATACAAACAGAGAAAACAAATGAGTTTAGATGAAGTGGTGTAACGATTCGAGTTGAAATGACGATGACGATATGTAGCATATACCTGGAAAATTTCGGCCAGCAACCTTCAGTTTATTTATGACACTCCAATTAGGTCACTGAGAATATTGTGGCCAGGTATCATATAGATGAAAGACGCAAAACTATCTATGGAAAAGTTAAAGAAGAGCTATGCGAACGAAAAATAAGATTATTGTTTATATTTTTAAAATTTTTAATATATTTGTGCGTTGAAGTTTCTGTAGCAATTTGATTACGTTTTGGGGGTGGAGTTGTTAGCACAACGTCCCAACCCTCCCTCTTCATCCAGGCTTGGGACCGGCTAGAAAACTAGTGAGCTAGTAATCTAGGCGAGGTCTGGAAGGAGGGAAAGGTGTCTACTGACTGGAGGGAAGGTTACCCCGTGAAACTAACAAAGAAGGGCGACTTAGGACTCTGCAAGAACTGGCGAGCAATCATGCTCCTGTTGACGTCAACTAAAATTCTCAGTCGCATCATTCTGGAGAGAATAAAGGACGCACTGGATACAGAACTCCGACCACAACAAGCTGGATTCAGGAAAGGCAAATCATGTTCTGACCAAATTGCAACTCTACGCATCATCATCGAACAAAGCATGGAATGGCAATCAATCCTCTACCTCAACTTTATAGACTTTGAGAGGGCCTTCGACAGTGTCGACCGCAAAGTAATTTGGAAACTACTCGGGTACTACGGCATACCCCAAATATTCATCAGCCTTATTCAACGGCACATGTCAAGTGATCCACAACGGAAAACTCAGAGAGGCGTTTGGAGTAAACACATGAGTCAGACAAGGGTGGTGGTGGACTGGATTATGCGTCACACAGTGGGAAACGAGAAGATAGGGATATCCTGGACCGACGTGAAGAATCTAGAAGATCTGGATTTGATGTCACACAAAATCGAAGACTTACAAGCGAAAACCGACAAACTGGTCGAAGAAGCAGCAAAGACAGGACTCCAGGTGAACATAGACAAGACGGAGGTTATGAAAATAACCAACCAACAACAGCAGCAACATCCAGTGCCAATCACCATCAACGGGAGGGATTTGAAAGAGTTTACTTCATCCACTTATCTGGGGAGCATTGTCTCAACTACAGGAGGAACGGACGAAGATGTCAAATCGAGAATCGGGAAGGCGAGAAACACATTCATCAATCTGAAACCAATCTGGAAATCTTCGTCACTCAGCCTGCATCAACAACAAAATTCAGATTTTCAATACAAAAGGTCAAGTCAGTTCTTCTATACGGATCAGAAACTTGGCGGCGGGTCACAAAGAATATTTCCAACAGGTTGCAGACCTTTATCAACAACTGTCTTCACTCTATACTGAAGATCAGATGGCTGGAAAGAATCACCAACAAGAAACCATGGGAACAAACAAAGCAAGAACCAATCGCTCAAAAAATATGCAGGAGAAATTGGAGATGGATTGGACACTCGCTGAAGAGGCCACCGGGTGACATCGCGCGTCAGACCATAGCTCGAGTGGGACCTGAAAGGGAAGCGGCGAGTGTGACGTCCAAGGGTGACATGGAGGAGATCATGTGAAGAGGAGTTGAATTAGTATGGACTAACATGGATGCAGGTGAAAAGTACAGCAGAAGACAGAAACAAGTGGAGACGTGTACTTGAAGCCCTATGTTCCACTAGGAACCCAAGGGAACAATAATAATAATATCCAAACGAACTAACGAACGTTTCAATGACCCTGAAAGGACCTAGCGATTTCAAAAAGGAAGAACTAGGGTCCCTTACTCAAACCTAACTTTAATCCTTCCCTAAACCTACCCTAATCTAACCTTCAACCTACTCGTAACCTAACTCTAAACTAATCAGATATCCCGTTTGATATTTTCACACACTCTACTCATTATTTTCCTACGAATATAGTGTTTCATTAGCTTGGTCTGAGTGAGTGTTTCAAGGTTATTGGTGCATTCGTTTCTCTTGATCGTTATTCTTTAACCTGGCCTTGGCCACTTATCATTGTGACACAATATGCATTTCACTGAGTTGCTAGCTACCGTTATCTTAAGGTATTCTAATGTGAAGAATGAGTTTTGGGTTGATTGTTGTAAATCTCAGGCAAAGTGTATAGTTATTACCCTAATCTCCCGATTAAAGTTTGATATGGTAATTTAACAAACTGTGCATCGGTGGTGCAACTGTAGAATGCCCACTCACCACCAACACCTCACAATTGGTCTGAGATTCACAATCCAACCAATGCACGCCTAAATCTGGATTGACCAGTAGCGAACGCGATAAAGCGGGAAGGTTGGACGTGGGAACTAGCAAAACGAAACGGTTAAAAATTATTGACTTTGGACGAAAAAGGGCTAAGGAATAAATCTACATCAATGGACTTACTTTTAGAACACGATCTAATTCATATGTATGGATGGAATATATGTCGTGATTATCTAAATATGAAAAAAGAAGTAAATAATTGATGAAGAATATTTAGTTCGAATAAAAAGAAACACTACGCTGAATGAATTAATGAAGACCTAATAGGCATTCTGTACTTGAATATCATATTTCCATACAAACATATTTGTAGGCTGAAGTAATTAGGTGGGTAGTGATTAGCGGTGGAATCCACCAGGATGCGCATTTCGGCTGTCTCATCTGGGACTCATCATCTGGATGTACCTACCTACCTGCATATTCCCCAATGAGTGATAGTCTTCCCACTGGGTCTCGAACCCAGTACCCATAGTTTCAGACGCCAAACCATTATCCATTAGACCACTTGGGCCACGACAGCCACCACCTCTTTTGCAACGGGGATTAGTTATTATCTAATTTAATTTGAACTTTACAAATGACTGATTGAACTGAAGTGCTCGACCTCAGGTTGATATATCGACTCCTTGTGCGGATGCTTCGACAATGTTCGAGGATTTAACTTAAAGTATTTCGGTAGATGGTGACTATATTTATATTTTATATTTTTGATTACAGCTTGATTCCACACCGTATTTTTGGTACAAGTATGGAATTTTCAGCATGGATATCGGTAGCCCAAATTTTGCAGGCCGACCATAGATATCAGGTGTGCGTCAGCAGGGGATCGAACCTCAGACCATGTGCATGGTCGGCGAGAGTTCTAACCACTGTGCCACCGACGCACTCGGGAATTAATTCAAGTTAAATTCTCAGATATCGTCGGAGCATCTGCACAATGAGCTGACATGTCAACCTGAGGCCGAGCACTTCTTGGTACTTGGCATAAGGAAATTCTCAAGAGTGGTTACTTAAATCCTTTCATGAAGAAATTTTTTTGTGTACAGTTACCTCTGCCGTTCGTCATAGAAATAGTACTTTAATCGAACTGAACAGGTATAAACCACTCTGTCTGATTTTGAAAAGTAACATATTGGATGAAAGAAGATGGTCATTTGGAAACCACAGCCTTCCTGTCAATTAAATGCAGCTCATCCTCATACTGAGTTATTCTCCGCTTGGTAATAGAATTAGAGACATCAGTTAAAGCACTAACTAATTACTTGGTGGCTGGCTGGCTGGATTCAACATAGAACTTGGCACCGAAGTGCAGCAGTTCGAGTTGCCACGTTCCAAAGAGCACACAAACGTAGACAAGAAGATGAGTGAGGAGAATCAATAGAGTTTTGACAAGTATAAGAGTGAAACAGAATGAGTAATGGTAGAAAGGAATATGAAAGATTACAGAGACTGAATACATCTGCGAAGGCCATTGACAACGATTTTGAGCCATGTCACCTAGTGTCTCCAGCCATTGATTCTAGGAATCCCGAGGGCCCCAACCCAGAAGTCTGCATCTCCCTACCTGACTCAGTTTAACTGTCAGGGATTTCATGGATTGATGCCATGTTTTTGTTTGGCCACCACTTACTCTTTTCCAACCCACAACACCTATATCAGCTAGTAATGCCCGTCAGGGGAGGCGATGGTTGGGCATGCGCAGCACGTGACCTAGTCATCTCAATCTATGTAACTTTATAGCCTCGTCGATTGATTTCCCCTGTTTGCCCAACACTCTACGCCTAACGTCAACATTACTTACCTTATTATACCACCTAACGTGAGAAAGAGATCGTAGACATCTATGATCAAAAACAGTCAACCTTTTCATGTCTTCAACTCGTATTGGCCATGTTTCAGAGCCATAGAGAAGGACGGAGCGAAAATTACTCAGTACCAGATAAAATAACTCTCTACAACTACTGGATACATAACTCTGCTTATCCAGAATTTTCAAATTTTTTTCTTATATCGGAATACAGAGTCTTGCTGTACTATTCATCAAATAACACTTAGCTCCTCTTGAGTGATAACAATTTTAGAATTGATTTTTAGTCACAAAACTGCAATACATTTTACTACTCAGTTCTCAGATGACCTTATTTTCTACTTCGCAGTTTTCAGCTGAAAAACTTCTGAAGATCATATTGATTTTGACACATAACTACGTTATACTTAGACATAAAAAGCATGCATATAGTGTCAAAATGAAGAGAACTAAGCTTGCTTATTGATTAGTTATAATCAAAGTGCACGCACTCAGTTAAAAACTTTTTTAAAAATGTCACGAATGTCAACCCCATGTTTTACGTGACTGGTCAGAATCCATAATTATTATGTCAAAATATTTGAACATGTTTATAACAATAGACTATGGAAAGTAGAAATAGACTGACAGTTGATTACTTTCACACAGTCAAAGAAAAATACACAAACAGTAAAAAAAGGTTAGCAGAAACGTTTATGGTAGAAATGTGTTAACGAAAGGAGGAGACATGATCTGTAAACTAGAAAACTGTAAGTCGCGTCACTGAATTTAATTGGTACAGCCGAATCACACTAGTTACTAACCAGCGTCCAATTAAAGTATCCAATACAGTCCTACAGGAGGTCAATCGCGAGCCTGAATAGCTCAGTGGTAACGTTTCTGACTGACTGCAACACTAGGAGACGCAGGTTTGAATCTCAGGGGGGGGGGGAGAAATGAGTTCCTTCAAGACTGCAGATATGCCTTGCTGACTGGTGAGTGCCAAAAGGCACGAAACCCCGATCCAAGTCTTCCTCCTACTGATTGCCTTCAACCGTCTAATATCAACAATTCAAAGTGCACCGTGATGGTGAGCCACCTAGAATGGTGGCCACACTGCAAACTTGACTGATAGAATTCAGTCTGCATCAAACAAAGGACTAGACACATTACACTAGTTACTAACTAGTGTCCAATCAAAGTTATATTGCCTTTTTCATGGGGCAATAGATATATGCATTTTCGGTCAGCCTTCTTCGTCTTTCTTGGCATAGGAATAGTATATTGTGTTGGAAACATTTATTTCCCGATACGAATTTACAACAGTAGAACACGAGGAAAACGATACCATTAAATTTCTAGATGTTTCTCTAATGGAAAGGACTGACAGCATAATGGAAAGACCTATGTTTAACAAGTCTCCAAGGACAGGGCAGAACATACATTTCAAAAGTTTTGTTCTAATCCACCATAAAAAGAACTTAGTCAGAACATAGTTCAATAGGCCACGAAAAATTTGTTCTGACGGTACGGTTGTACATGAAATAGAAACTCTGAAGGATATTTTACCTAAGAATGGATATCCCGAGAAGCTCATTAATAAATCTGTAAAGAAATTACCCCCTGCAAAACTATCCAAAGAGTTCCGAAGAAATCTGTCTATATCAGTTTGTCGTTCAAAGGAGATGATGTACAAGAAGTAGTCAAACGAAGACTCAATAAAGCTATCAAGAGAACTTATTATGCTGCAAAACTTGTTTTCCTTAACAGTACCAAGCGAGTGGTTCAACAATCTGGGAAAAACCAGTCGCCAATCCTCGACACTTCAAACTGCATGTATCAATTTGACTGTGTTTATGGAAGCAAAAAGATAGGTCAAACAGAGAGGCGATTGTCAACTCGCATGATGCAGCATTTGCCAAGGTGGTTGAAAACAGATGAAGTGAAAGTGTCTAAAAGTTCAATAACAAAGCATCTTGTGGACTATGGACATGATATTGACGCTGTCAAGTCATTCACTATTATCAGCAGATAAACAAAAAGGAAGATGCTTTCAACTGCGGAGGCTTGTGCAATTTGAGTTTATAAACCAAGTCTCTGTGTACAAAAGGAAATGGTAGTCACTCTGAATTTACCATGGTAATATGTTTTGCTTATTAACTGTTATTATCATTATTAACATTTTATTCTACCTCTAATTACTACTATTTCTGATTCATTTAAAACTATTTACTTACATATTAATTATTATTTTACTTAGTATTACCATTATTATCAATATTATTTAGTTCGCAATTCTTGATATATTCAAGTTCTTTCACTCACTGATAACTAATTGTTTATTTAAGTGATGTAACTGAACCATAATGCATTTTATCTTAATTTTATATCCCTGTATGTAGAGTATCCAGCTGAAGAGTTCTACCGAAATTTGATGAATTCATTATATCCTGCTTTATTAACTTTTGTTGCTTGTTTTAAAGTATACTGTGTGTTGAAGTGACACTAGAACGAACCTAAATCCAGTATTATTATGGTCACAAAAAAGACAATATTAAGCAAAATATCGCCAACTCACCTGAGAGATCACCAGTAGCTGCAGTAACTCCAATGTAGTAACCAGTTGGCAGATGGACACCATCAACTGTAAAACATTCAATAGGATCGCCTGCACCTTGGTGTTTTACAGAAACCTAAGGATAAAAAAGGAAATCAAACATATTCATTTATTGAATAATCATGAGTAACCAGTAGAATATTGTTACCGAAAAATGTGCACTTAGTGACTGTTTGAATGCAATTACCGAATGGCTGTGAACACAATATTCATCATATACGACAAAGCATATTCAACACAGCAGTGCGAAGGCAACGTCATCAGAACAAAAGGGCTTCTTCAACGGTTTTTAAGGCAATGAAGGTGACTAGATCAAAACAGGGACAAAAACTGTTGCTTTAAGTGGTGACATGTAAGCATGTAGGTATGAAATAGCGAGGTGTGACAGTGCAAAATTTCCCGTAATAATCCATTTTACTTACTGTGAGTAGTAGATACACATACGCCTAATTTAATCTTTAATTGGATCGACTATTATCTACTATTTTTACTAGTTCATGGCAGTTTACAACACATTGAAATGAATCACTACTATGTTACATGTTGTTCTTGCCTCTACTTCTTTCCCGCTTAATTTCCGTCCTACTTGTATAACTATTATCACCGGTCGGATAAATAAAGTATATCCGCTTAACTTTCCTTCAACTGAATCAGCTGTGAAATAAGAGAAGTACTGTCCATGAAGAGTCAACTCTACTGCACAACAATGCACTATCTTTTTATTTAATGATAAAACATAGCCATTCTAGATAGACGATTTACAAAAGCGTAAGTTATTTGACCAGTGTTGCCCTCGTATGAGGACCAGCTTGGGTTTGGACTGACAACTGGGCAGTGTAGAGACTAGATGTACAGTATCCTGTAAAAAAACGAGTCAGTCAGTGAAGTGAAATAGGTATCGCTTATGTACAACAAAAAGCTGTTTATAACGCATGCTTAGTAAGCTTACCTTTAACTGGTTATTGTTATAACGAATATAAGCGATTGAGTAATCACTATTTCTGAAATTATTCGAACAACCAGCCAGTTCTGTTAAAGTTCCATCCCGATCATGATCATAATGCTTAGTCCCATCGTTGATCATTGCACTAATATACGGATGATCATGGCTGTGCTCTCCATTCTGATTGGCGTATGTGTCAAAGAAAACAGCTAACCCACGAAACTTTTCTCTATTACCAAATGCTGGTCCTAGAAAATATTAATAGCGTAGCTATAAAAGAAATTATCAAACAATATATACCAGGTGAAGGTGGATGCTGAGTATACCAAAAGGCAAATCCATCACCAACCAAAGTTTTCGGGCTATGAACATGGAAGGCGATGACCACCTCCCAATCTCGAGTGATCAAAGGCTTTGTATTGTAAATACCACCTTGACTGCTTTTTACATCAGACGTCAAACGCACAAACTGAGGTTCTATGACTGCAGTACCATAGGGTTGCCAGTATACTACAAAAAAAAACAAATGTAATTGTAGTAAGAATTCAATACATCTTATTAAATGAAGCCTAAGAGATTACACATTTACTAAACATGCCTAATCTTATTATACAAATAAGTGAATTTGCATTTTTTTCAATAATATAATAATTCCTACTGTAACATTAAGAACGCAATATTCAGCGGAGAGGCTCTTTTCAACGAATTTGTTATCAAGCTGTACAATCATATATATATATATATGACTTTTTATATTAAGAAATTATATCCCGTGAGGAAATTTAAAGATAGGTGTGAATACATAAAATAATAATAGTAGGAGATGCAATTAAAATATTTGCAATTATAATCGACTCCTGTCACACTACCAACCATTACCATGATTTTAAGATCTATCGAAGACACGCTAACTTGCCGCGTTTTCTTCATTATAAACTTCTAAAGACAGCAGAGACATTGACGATTCATGAGTTTAAGCCAGACCTTCGTGTACAAAAGAAGCATGTAAAATCCCTACTTCTGCCTTGACCGTAAAGGGATAGACATTTATTTTTATCTGTATTGTTTATTTAGCCAGTCAATGTACCTTTCCCTTATTACCACAATTATTATTAATACTATTCTTGCTTTGAACTATTTCCAATTGTTATTCTAAATCGAAAACATTTTTTTTTTACAATGTTGAATTCCATCTTACCAAATTTCACAGCATGTTACGTAACGTTTTATATTAGCCTATTAGCTCTATAATTATACACCCACTTCCAAAATTAATACACCCTATGAATCACTCTACATATGACATTAATTGTTTTGCCACTTGACTCTCGATATTTAAATATGATTATAATCACAAATATTTTAATTGCATCTCATACTATTATTATTTTATGCTTTCGCACCTATCTTTAAATTTACTCACGGGATATAATTTTTTAATATAAAAAGTTATATATATATATACGATTGCACAGCTTGATAATAAAAGTTGAAAAGAGTCCCTTTGCTGAATATTGTGTTCTGAAATAAGTGACTATCAAGTGATTAACATATGATATGTATAATAATTACAAACGAATATAACATGATGTTATGAATTAGTTCCACAGACACTAAATTTCTTCATCATGTACAATAGCTTCAAACACGACGGTACACAAAAAAACATCTTTATTGAAGTATATATTCAATCTTATCCTGTATGAATCGGCAGAGTAATCAATAAAATAGCGTCGTATGACCAAAGATAGATATCTAAACAAAACAATGAAATTTGGGCAAGTTTGTAACTTGGCAACTACTCTGAATAAATTGCCACAAAGAAGAAACAAACAGAAACACCAAAACGTATTAAGGGATAAAAAGTCAAGCATGGATAGATGACACTGACTAACTTCTGAAAATGGTAGGAAATGGACATATCTAGTTAATAGTGATTGATGAATTTGATCATTTTCTTGCCTGTAATTATTATGATGCCAAGCCAATCTGGTGAATTCAAATACCCTTCGAAATTAGGAAACGCATGTCAAGTATATGCAAGTCTTTTCTCAATGTTTTCAAAATATTTTGATTTTCATGTAGTTTGATTAGACTGCTTCTCCGTCTGCAGTAAACAGCTACTTTTGACGTAACAAGTCAGTTACTTGTATTACGGGAAGAGTACCAAGTTTGAAAGTCTAGAGGTATTTAAAGAGTACGAGAAATGAGCTTGGTGTTCCATTTAGGCTGAGACTAGACTTTGGATAGTAATTAGGGTAAGACTGAGGTGTTAAGCAACCCAAGCCAACTACCAACCAAATGACATTGAATGGTTCTACAGAAATATTCGAAACACAAAATCACTCTTCTGATTTGGTTGACCTGTTAGAATGGAGACACACCTATTCCATAAAAGGATTATGTAGGCATTAGAGAATTAGTTTTCCAGCGAAAAATGACATGATTTACAATTGGTTCGATGATATTGTTTCGAAATAACACTAAGAACCTATACAACGAACAGTGAGACAGAAAAGATACAGGAGATTGCCAGCCGTACAGTAAGTTTATTCCGCTCAGTTTTTTTCTATCAATTTTTCTTTCCAAATAGAGACTTGGTTTCGTAAGGTGTTTTTGTTAGCCATTAGCTTGAGTCGCTAAACTTTAGTCTAGACAAAATTAGATCACCAATCAGCGTTCTGATATCCGACACAGCTATACACTACTATTTACTGATGTTTTGAATACGATTCATCAAACATAATCACATAGTCCCTGACGAACTTCCGTGCGAGTAGTTTTTCCCGTATGTGAAAAAAATTTCAAGTCACTTTATCGAGTGCATATCGTCCTAGCGTTTTTGATGCAGAAGAGTTGAAAAGTTTTAGACGTGTGTAAATAAATTGTGATCATGAATACACACAAAGAGAAATTACTGAATACAAAACAATCGATAATGTTGGACTGAAACAATTGGTTGTGTAAGCATAAATTTTAGAATGACAACAAAAACCGTACTTACAGCTTGTGAAAGGAGATACAAGGGAATTATCTTTTATTTGATATTCTGAGTATACTGGTTTGGTAAGCACCAAACAAAATGTCAGGACAAAGACCAGCATCTCAAGTGTTTATACTGTGCGGCAGAAAGTTGGCGCGCTAGGTTCTACAATGATGGTGAATGTGAAAAAGTAATATGAAGAGGTAAGAATTACTTCCAGGACTAATAATTCATATGAAGACAGAAGTAGGTTTCTCTAACCGTAATAGATTTTATTATTTAACTACATGACTTAATTTGTTAGAAAAATTTCGCTGTTAGATATTATGTCAGCCTCAGATTTTCAAGGATATAGCTTAGTAGCACAGATGCATCCTGTTTAGTCTTTTCACTACGTTTCTCAAGGTGTTCAAGCTTTCAAACGAAGGTGTCCACCAACTGAACGGGTACCACTTAATCCGATAACGAGTTGCAGACATTGATCACGAAGCGTAAGCACTTAAATTCTTCACTTAATTTACTTGACCTTCACTTAAGTATGTCCCGGAGTGGGAGAAGTTTGGAAACCTCTATGCCGAAGTTTTTATTTAATACACAACAAGCTGCAATAAGGTCACCTTTCTTTCTCAGTGGAATGGTCAATACGCCCTACCATTTCACTCGTAATCTTTAAAGTTGGAGTCGGTGTCCGCCTGTCCTATAATATCACATTACATCTGACAGTCACAATTAGTGCGGCAAACATACTAAGGTCTCTACCCAAAGTGTCTGTAAGTTCCCTTGTTTTGCAATCAAACTGCAGATTTCCGACTGGCGAGACTGTAATTCGGTAACAGGTTAATCCTTAGGTCGCTAAATTCCACTAAATTCAGAGTGATTTCTGCATTTGTGATGAAAATAAGTAATGGAAATTGTCCTGGATGCACACCAGTAGATGCCACCACTTCAGACAGTGACTGTGAGTAGGCCTTTAAACGGCCGATTAATTTCGAGTAGTGTACCTGGATTGATGCGACATAATTGGTAATGCCTCGAAGACCAGACATCGTCATGTGGACCAAACCCTATATGACAAATTTGCTAATTCTCGCTTATCTACAACATATGAGTAAAGAGGAAGTTAGCCTTATTGTTTATAATTCAGACCTGAATGATATTTGAAGATTTCCAGGAAGCAGTTCTCAGAGGCCATGTGGAAAGTGGAAATTTTTGAGGAGTGCTGTAGTGTCTCCACACCACATGGGCCCTATAATCTGGGAATCATTCACTAGAGGGACATAAAGAGAAACCTAATGAAGAACATTCTTTCTTCACTTTTCGGGGTTTCCATTCTCTTTCTTTCTGAATTTAGGGGTTAATACCTTTCAACGTCTTCCACTGGTCTTCCCCTCTTCATAATACACCAGTGTGCTGTCAAAATCACAATCTGTCTTCTCACTTTTTTATGTGTTTCTGAAAGGCTGATCCCAGAACTATTTAACACGTATATCTGACTGGCAAACAGGTGAGCTTCTTTACCCTTTAATTATGCCACTTTTCGTGTCATACCCCATCATCATTCAGTGCACTGGTGATTTAGTTGCGGAATGTCTGCAGGCTACGCTAAATGTCCAGTTTTGATTGTTAGCTGACGCACTCCTGCACATCGCCTAGTTGACTTTGTGATAGTAGTTCCGGTAAAGAAGGAAGGTATACCATGAGTCTAGCAAACCCTCCGTATATGTTGCCCCACCGTCACTGAAACTTGAAAGCTTGAAACCCCATTTTCCAGCTGGCTTACAAAAAATTAAAAGAGCAACGCTGATATTGTGCTGGATTCGATCTATAAATATTGCGGTTGTTTCAACTATTTTGATTTTCTTGTGTCTGTTGTTGGCAAAAGGGACCTGACGACACTATATCAGATAACCAAGTCTCTATCCGGGAAGAGATCAACACAAGTGAAACCTATAAAAGACAGCCAAGGGAACCCATTTACCAAAGAAGAAAGACAGATTAAACAATGGGCGGACCACTTCAAAGGACTCTTGAATCGACCACCACCTACAACCCGTCCAGTAATACCAACAACAGCACGTACACAACTGCAAGTTGACACCAATCCTCCAACGAAAACTGAAGTCATGAATGCAATCAAGCTTCTGAAAGCTGGAAAAGCAGCTGGACCAGATGGAATACCCCCTGAAGCACTGAAAGCAGACCCAGAGACGACGGCAGATATGCTGACTCCATTATTGCAAAAGATCTGGAAAGAGGGAAAAGTGCCTACTGACTGGAGGAAAGGTTACCTGGTGAAACTACCAAAGAAGGGCGACCTGGGACTCTGCAAGAACTGGCGAGGAATCATGCTCCTGTCGACGCCAAGTAAAATCCTGAGTCGCATCATCCTGGAGAGAATCAAGGACGCGCTGGATACAGAACTCCGACCAGAACAAGCTGGATTCAGGAAAGGCAAATCATGTTCTGACCAAATTGCAACTCTACGCATTATCATCGAACAAAGCATGGAATGGCAATCAAACCTCCACCTCAACTTCATAGACTTTGAGAAGGCCATCGACAGCGTTGACCGCGAAGTAATTTGGAAATTACTCGAGTACTACGGCATACCCTAAATATTTATCAACCTTATTCAACAACTGTACGACAACGGCACATGTCAAGTGATCCACAACGGAAAACTCAGCGAAGCGTTTGGAGTAAACACAGGAGTCAGACAAGGGTGCTTATTATCACCAATGATATTCCTAATTTAGGTGGTGGACTGGATTATGCGTCAGACAGTGGGAAACGAGAAGACAGGGATATCCTGGACCGACATGAAGAACTTAGAAGACCTGGATTTCGCGGATGATTTATGTTTGATGTCACACAAAATCGAAGACTTACAAGCAAAAATCGACAAACTGGTCGAAGAAGCAGCAAAGACAGGAAGGTCTCCAGGTGAACATAGACAAGACGGAGGTCATGAAAATAACCAACCAACAACAGCAGCAACAACAGCAGCAACATCCAGTGCCAATCACCATCAATGTGAGGGATTTGAAAGAGGTTACTTCTTTCACTTGTCTGGGGAGCATTGTCTCAACCACAGGAGGAACGGACGAGGATGTCAAATCGAGAATCGGGAAGGCGAGAAACACATTCATCAACCTGAAACCAATCTGGAAATCTTCGTCACTGAACTCAGCATCAACAACAAAATTCGGATTTTCAATACAAACGTGAAGTCAATTTTGCTTTACGGATCAGAAACTTGGCGAGTCACCAAGAATATTTTCAACAAGTTGCAGACCTTTATCAACAACTTTCTTCGCTTCATACTGAAGATAAGATGGCCAGAAAGAATCACAAACAAGAAACTATGGGAACAAACGAAACAGGAACCAATCGCCCAACAAATATGCAGGAGGAAGCGGAGATGGATTGGACACTCGCTGAGGAGGCCGTTGAGTGACATCGCGCGTCAAGCCCTCGAGTGAAACCCGAAAGGGAAGCGGCGAGTGGGACGTCGAAGGGTGACATGGAGGAGATCGTGTGAGGAGGAGATGAAACAGTATGGACTAACATGGATGGAAGTGAAAAGTACAGCACAAGACAGGAGCAAGTGGAGACGTGCAGTTGAAGCCCTATGTTCCACTGGGAACCCAAGGGAACAATAATAATAATGTGTCTGTTGTTGATTGTCCACCACAATATACTATGAATATACATCAACTAATACTGGGAGTTAAAATTTCTGACAATCTTTGCAAATATAAAGTGAATTGTCTTGGTTTTCTTCGCCACTGGAACCTGATTCAGTGGTGTACGAGCTTGCTTCGTAACTGGAAGGTCCTGGGTGCGAACCCCATTGAGTGCATACTGCCGGTGATTCGCAAACTAGGATGAAACTGCTGTCCAGTACTCTCTGGTTTTCACTGGTTCTCCAACTGATATCAATCCGTCATCAACTCGTAAAAACAAAACTAATCCTTACAGACCAACTAAAGAAATTCAATCTGATGCTCTTTAGTGATATGCTACAGGATGGAGTTTCCTGGAGTTCAAGTGAGAAGTCGTGACCAGTGAGGTCCATCCAGTCAAGTGTGAGGATGGGTGTCCCACCGCGACATTGGTTGGGGTCGCGCTAATTCACGAATTGGTAGAAGTTAGAATTCATGCACTGGTCATTGAATCGGGTCCCAGTGGCTGAATGATATACGAGTCAGCTTGCCTTGTAATCGGAAAATCCTGGGTTCGAACTTTGGTGGTGGGTCCGTATTGGCGTTGATTCCCAAACTAGGATGAAACAGCTGTCCAGTACTCTCTGATTTTCAGTGTTTCTCTTACTGATATCAATCCGTGGTCATACTCGAAAAAAATTTAATCCTTACAAAGTAACCCTTGAAAATGTGTTTTAGTTTAGAAAATGTTCGGCGAGTAACCCTTGATTAAGGAGCAAGTTTTGGACAGACAGATTGTAATCATATATGTCTCTTATCAGCATTACATATGGACAGTCGCTTTTTCGCTATTAGAGGATATAACGCAGAAGAATAAGTATGAAAAAGAACATAAAAACTACGTAAATAACAAAAAGTTTGCATATTTCAGAACATCCGTTAGAAGTGTTAATAACTCAAACCTACTGAAAGAATTTGACAATTTGCACATTATAGCAGATGTAGTATTCTCTGACATTTTCTTGGAGTCCTGCATAATGCTGTAGGAGATCAAGGTATTTCGTCAAGTTAATTGAACTTCTGCCGTTTCACTGTCAGCTATCGTTTTGTTTATCTGTGTGGATCAAAACACATGATGGTCACTATAATTCTCAAGGGACAAGGGCCTAGAGGTGGTATTGTGGTGTGATTGCGTAACTCCATAATCTATACACCTTCGGGTAGTCACGGGAATTATGTCTTTCTCTTACTAGTTGGCGGAGTATTAATAACAGCCTGGCCACCAGGCGAGGTGGAACAGGCTAAAGAGTCAGGAGGTAGTGTAGTCAAAGCTCGGGTTCAGCAGGACAGATAGTCACGAAGCAGTCTAGGACAAATGGAAACGACCTCGAAGTTGTTCAAGTAGAGTAAACAACGGGTTTCCAAGAATGTCATAGGGAAAATAACATGGCAGGAGAAATTCCAGTTATTGATATAGGTGAGGGATGATGTTAGAAGTTCCGAATTGGAATTAGCAAATGTAAGAACCCGTACCAAGTGTTATTTCAACACTCAGTGTCTGCATAGTACTATGAGCACTTCACACTTAATACTCCTGTAGTGTTAGTAACTGCCAACCTTGTTGTCCAACGTTTTTGTATGGACGGATTACGAGCAGCGTGAGAAAACGGAGAACATCGGACGTTTACTGTCGCGACGTTAAACTTATTATGTTGCGTTCTTGCTATTAGTGCCTTGTTTCATAGGATCATGTGCCAACCAACTGACTCAAAGTGCTCAGTAACAATGACTGTGAATGAAAA